TTGAAGGTTTTATTACCTTGTTAATCACTTAGGTCCATTTATTAGCATTCTCAGCCTGTCATTTCAGTGCTTTCTCCTTTTTTTATTTATAAGCATTAATATTATTACATGCTGAGGGGATTGTTTTAAGGACAGACTGTTAATGAGTTCCTGCCACAGTGCATCTTCAGCCCTGAAGATCTCCAGAAACCACAGTTTGACTGTACAGATCTGTGCTCTAGGCAGGTGTATTCACAAGACTTCATGGTACTGCTTTGCTGACTGTTGTGGGGTTTATCCAGTGTTCAGATCGGAAATACTGGGAAGAGGCCTTTTACTTTCCATGTTCTCTTGAGCAAAGTGTGGGAGATTCTCCGGAGTGAGGAAATGACGGGGATTTGACCATGAGCCACCTCAGTCTATCAACACCGAGTGATCCCCGCCAGTGCCATTCTGCATAGTCTACTTGCCAAAGCAAACTCAATCCTTTCTAGTCGCCAGCTATTTTGACCTTGCTGCAGTTCCTCACCATGCAGCAGGAAATGTCTTAGCCAGTTACTGGCATCTTCCTTCACTTGCTGATTTGTTAAACCTGACTTCATTGTTCATTTGTGTTCTTGCTGTATCCTCCCTCTCAACACTTTTGGCTCCTGCCTGCATGTCCTGTAAGGAATTGAAAGATGCTGCACCGGCAAAAGGCAAGGTTGGCTATTAACTGCCAATGTTGTTTTAGCTCTTCCATGCACATGATTATTCTCATGCCTTCAAAGGTGTTTGGATCCCTTCTCAAGTCAATGGGCAAAATAGCCTTCTGTGAAATGAATTCATAGGCTTATCTGTACTCTCCAAATAACTGCACTGCCTTGTATTTAATACACTGAAGGCAGTAGACTTCCTCTGTGCAATATCTGATCTGAAAAGCTCCCAGCGTGTTTTCCAGCAGAAGCAGCTGCAGAAAACAGGGTCAAGGCAGTGACAAAACAGCAAGACAAGAGTTGCTCCAGAAGGTCAGACACAGACAGAGACTGACAACACAGAGTATGAGTAGTCTGGATAGAGACTCATACCTGCCTTTTCTGGATGTGGAAGAGCAGCTGTGTGTAAGAAGGCAGCTCTCTGCCTGGTGCTGGTGTAGCACAATTATTCTGAAGAGGCTAAAGTGAGAGGAACCCAGTACTTCTTTGGTGAAGTCT